TCGTGGACTACAGCCCACTTCTTCGGATCCTGCATCCGAAGAAGTGGGCTGTAGTCCATGAAAGCTTATGCTCTAATAAATTTGTTAGTCTCTAAGGTGCCACAAGTACTCCTGCTCTTTTTGCGGATACAGACTAACACGGCTGCTACTCTGAAACTAATACAACAGTTTTCAAACTAAAATGGTAGTCACTATACATTCCCATGCCATTAAAATTGTTTGCAGTAGCTTGTGACCCAATGAAAGTCAAGTCATACATGATGAGGTATAAAAGGCAAAAGGCATTGTTCTATATTTCTTTTGGCAAAGAAACAATACACCATTTTTAAGGTCCTAACCAAGGGAACTCAACTACTTAGCATATTAGTGCAGCACTCCACATCCAAGCAGTATCTACATTTTAATATTTTTTCCTCCACAACATCCAAAATCCAGCTTTTTCTCTGCCCACACAGAAAAAATGTTTGTCCAGGACTTCACACATCATGCTTCTTGACCATTAAAACCTCCTCCTTTCCGGCCTTACCAAATACCATCTTGATCCCCATATCGTCAAATGCTGCCGCAGAGACCATTTTCCCAAATTATAGCTCCGCTTATGTCACCACTCTCTCCATTTTCCCTTGCTCACCATATACTCACAGGCATGGCCTACTCTACATAGTTTTTATACCAATATAACTCTGTCAGTTGGGTGTGATTTTTTACCAACAGTTCTACAGGTACAGCCCCTAGCATGGGCACGTTATACTAGTAAAAAGATACTTTATACCAGTACAGCTTATTCTGTACAAAAAGGAGAATAGGTTATACTGTATAATCATGCCCACTAAGGGGGATTTAGAGTAGCAGCCGTGTTAGTCTGTATCCGCAAAAAGAAGAACAGGAGTACTTGTGGCACCTTAGAGACTAACAAATTTATTAGAGCACTAAGGGGGAGTTATACTACGACTACGTCTTCACTACCCGCCGGATCGGTGGGTAGCAATCGATCTACCGGGGATTGATTTATTGCGTCTCAACTAGACGCGATAAATCGATCCCCGAACACGCTCCCTGTCGACTCCGGAACTCCACCAGGGTGAGAGGCGGAAGCGGAGTTGACAGGGGAGCCGCGACCATCGATCCCGCGCTGTGAGGACAGGAGGTAAGTCGAGCTAAGATATGTCGACTTCAGCTACGCTATTCTCATAGCTGAAGTTGCGTATCTTAGATCGATCCCCCCCTAGTGTAGACCAACCCTACTTTAACTATATCGGTATAGTTAAAGCAATAGAACCAACTTGTGTGTGTTTAGATAAGCCCTATGGCTCTTTGGGGCTTCACCTCATCGTACTTATTTCTTATAATGGTATGTATGCTGCCATCAACCTTACTTCAGCCTGGTCTACACTAGAAAAGGGGAAACTACACTGACAAATCCTCTTCTACTATAGATGCAGCTTTAATAAGCAAAAAAAAAGGGCTTTTGTCAGTATAGTTTATACTGAACAAAATAAATTATACCAGTTTAAAAGTGCTTTTGTGGTATAACAATCTACACCAGGGCTTCCCAGCATAGAAGTGTGTCAAAAAAAAAAAAAAAATACAGTCCTAATCAACATTACTATTCCAGCAAATATCTTTGCACTTTCTCCCATGCCATCCCTTATCCATGAGAGGAACTCCTTGTAAAGATCCACAAAGCTACATTATCCTCTTTCAAATCTCTCATTAAAGTTTCTTCTGCCATGATTCTTACCAAAGACTCAACAATGGCTAGACACTGCTTACTACAAGAATCATGATTTTCACACTTTTATCTTGTGCCTCCCATGTCTGTCTGTTGTAGTCTCTCGTTGTTTCATGTATTTAGATTGTAAGTTCTTTGGGGAAAAGGGACCATACTTTCATTTCTGTACTTTGCCTAGCATAATACAAATAAATCTACAGACCAAAAGTGAGTTACAAATTACCACAGTACTATCAAAATTTGACTCAACACTTTGAAATGTATTGTTAGACGAGCCCATAAGAGGGTTACAAGTATTTGTGTAGTCAAGAACAGAGTCATGACAGAAATAAATTTAGGAACCCCTAGTGAACAGCATTCCTGTCTAACACATGGTTTGCAAGATATTAAGCATCAAAGTGGTTTTTGATTCATTGTATGACTAGTGTTATTTGGAGAATATCAACTCACAATCAAGTGTAAATTTTTCATTTCTGAAGCTACAAAAATTTTAGGGTTTCCCCCCCCCCTCCTTTTTAGGCCTTTATATCAGGAATTCACAATACAACCAAAAGTAAATGAATAAAACTTTACATATGGATATGGATGATGCTCCCAGAGAAATTCTTATGAAACAGTTCATGTTAATGTCAAGCATGGTTACATGCCCATAAAATATAACATGTAAGGGGGAAGGAAAGCTCCCCCGCATCAGCAGTAGCACAAAAGACCAACTGTAAAACTGACAGGGTGGGGTGAGGTAATATCTTTTACTGGACCAACTTCTGCTGGGGAGAGACAAGCTGTCGAGCCACACAACTCTTCTTCATGTCTGAGAAAAGTAGTCCCAGCGTCACAGCAAAATGCAAGATGAAACGGATTGTTTAGCACAAGTAATTAGTACATATTGTAAGGGACGATTCAAGGTAGTGTAAGACTGACAGCCAAACATTTTCCACAACACTCAGACAGCAGCAGGAAGAATTCACACAAAAAATAAACCCCAACCTGACAGGAAACCACAAGACTTGCTGCAAAAGTGCTACCAGCCCACATGCATGTCTGAGGCTCTCCTACAGTAGGTAGTGAGTCAACAAGATGACTCTCTCCTTCTTCCCACCTCGCCACCCTGGATAATATCAGGCACTTGATGCAAGGCTGACAGATACTCACTAAGGACACCAGCACTCTACATTAACTTTCACAGGTGGCAAGGGAAGAAAACAAGAAAATTTGTGTGCTAAAACATACCAGGATTTCCCAATTGAAGGGTAAACTTAAAGGACATCAGTGGAAAAAAGTGGTCCATTGTTCGGCTCTGTATCGCTACAATAATATAACAAAAGAAACCCTGCTATCAAAGAAAGAAGTCAGTGCAAAAAACTGCACACACACTGGCTGAAAGTCAGCCATTTTGTTAGACAAGTTTGGCCTCCCTCTGGAATTGGCCAAAATCAATCCCTTAACATGCATTAAAGTTTAACATAGCAGACTCACTTTGCTGGCAATATTTTTCCTTGCATTACATTTTCCTAGTACATGGGAGCACTGTTGCATGCATTTGACAGTCACATTTCCATAATTTGGTAGACTGATTATTTTCTGATTCTGAGTGTTGTGTAGCAGGTAAAGTTTACAAGTATTATCCTGCTGAAAAGGGCAGCAAATCATAAGGATTTTCTGAGAACAAGCTTCCACAGAGCAAGGAGATCTCATTTTTCTTTCTATATCTACTAGCTCCTTTTTAAAAAACCTTCACTAAAATACATAAAGCCTTGTGTACTAGGCTAAAATAAAAAATTGCTCTTTAAAGACCCCATTAGGGGGTAGATGAATCAGCTGGAAGATTGCATAGCAGTGTTCTTATAACGCTTCCTATAGCAATACCAATGCAGGCTAAGAAAAAGCTTGTCCTATATACTTGTTATTAAGATGCAGTGTTCAAGCGTTTCACTTGGATGAGATGGCTAAAACCTCTCATCCAAGCAAAACATTTGACCACACCATTCTCCCTCTCTCA